ATAGCAAAATGTCACAACAGGGTGAGAAGTCATGGTTGTTTCTCTCTTAGCTTCTCGATAAAGAGCTCCACACAATTAATGAACGCTAAGAGACAGACAATCAGTCTTCTCCCCTAAAGGGAGATGAAGCATTAATTGATAATACCAAGTGGTCATTTCTAAAAACATAAATAAGCAACAGTAAAAAGCTCACCAGATTATATATATTGTCACTAATTTATATATATTTTATATATCATAAAATAAACTAACATACCTACATGTATAACAGCAGTAATTTTAAGAAAACGTTTATGAATTTGGATTGAGGAAATGCAGAAATGATGAAAATACAGTGCACATATATTGAATTAAAAGACAATTTAAAAACAGCCTAAAGAAATGCCAAGCAGAACAAAGAGATCATTAGAAACATGTACATCTAAATTTTCTCTGCAAACTACATGAAGTCTCACTTGCTCAACTTATGAAGACAGTCTCCAGAGCAAATATCTACACACAGGATCTCTCTAGGAACGAATTGTCCTCATTATCCTCTCATCTATGGCTCTGTTTTCATTGTTAGGGAATTCCAAGTGTTTTATATTTCAACCATATGTTACAAATGTAGCTAACTTATTGTTTTAGAAGGCAGTTAAAAAATTCTTCTATGTGGCCATGGGTAATGAACTGACCTTCCCAGAATTACATTCCCTCTGGAAAAACATATATAATGTAGTTCCTGGCAATAATGCTTAATGTGAAACCCCACTATTGCTATGAAACAACCCGCACTGTCTTCTCAGCAGAGAGAGGTTTTGAAAAATCAAGCTCCCCGTTTAGAATTCTTAAATAAATACATCTATGATAAGGTTGCTGGATAAGATTAAGAGTATATTTATGGTTCCAAGGTTGAGGTTCTGAGTAATCTCTTTGGCAGGACATGTTGCTCTCCCCTGTTTGAGTGGAGATTCACTGTTCAAAGCAACAAGCCCTTTGATACTTAGAAATTTTAGATTCTGTTCTATTTTAAAAAGCAACTGTATCAGTATTCATCTACTGTTTGGCATGGCCATTCATTTATTTTCAAAAAGGCTATTTTTTTACCACACTTCCTTCCAGGAAGCCTAGCAACTAAGTAGAAACCCAAATGACTGACAGAAATTATACAGGGACTTTCCTGTTGGTTAAGAAGCAGGATTAATTAAACTAATGTGCTAAATGTTGGGCAAATAATTATGCAGAGAAATGGACAGAAAGCTTCTTTATTTGTTTTTGATATCTGTGCTGTTTTAGTTTTCACTGAAAGAACAGCAAAGTATAGTAGAAAACTATTTTTGTATTTGAGCTTTCAATTAGGCTAGTTCAAATATTCTGCCAAATTCCATGAGTAAAATGACAATTATTTAAATACATTGTTTATTAAAACTAAATAATCAAGCATACAATTCTTTACAACATGGCTAATTAGGAGTGATTAAATATGTGATTAAAATGTTTCAAAAGAAAAAGCCAATCTTCATGAAATAAATGTAGTTTTCTAGCAAACGTTTAGTTTTTAAACCATACTAAGACCTGAAATGCTTTGAATTTATTAAAATTCTTAGAGTGGTCATATGTAACTAAATTTATTTTCATATAGAGCTCTACCCTTACAGTGTCAACACAGACATGGTATCATATTAAGAGTTCAGAATGAAAAAATATTCATTACATTAAATCAGATACTTGCACACTTACAACATACTATTGCTTTGTGAGGTGATATTATTCATCAAACTAAACTAAGAAGTTTTCTAAATTTGGATACAAAAACACAGTTTCCCGTAGAGAAGGGTGGTTTACAGTATTTATAATAACCCTTCAGGTTCTAATTGAAAAACAAACAAACAAAAAACATTTTAAGGCAGAGGAATGAAGACTACCTAAGAAATTCTTAAAGACATTAAAATTCTCATAGACACCTGGTTTCTCCCCCAAATGATGTGAAGGACTTTGATGGTTCCCTGTGGAGGGCCACATTATCCCCAGGGGAGTGTGGGGGGGGTGGGTTGGGGGCATTGGTGGGGAGCATGGGAGGATGAGAGGGCAAGGGAATGGGGAAATGATATGTAAATAAGAGAGCTTCTAAAATTAAAAACAAAAAATCAGTTAGATGGGATTGAAGGTGGCCCAGTTCTCTCTGTAATCCAAGGTTTCAATATAGTGACTTCAGCTATTTTTGATGTTATAATTTAATCTGAAACAAAACTCTAACAAATTTAGAACATAGTCATAATTTTAGAATGAAGTCATTAATGTTATTTTAAGCTACCTAAAAATTGTGGACAGTAAGATATTCAAAAAGCAAATCTTGATATAGAAAAATATGAACTGCAATGCCTATTACATTTGGGAAAACTTGATGTGGCAGTTTGAAAGTACTTGGGGTAAATTCATGGGAGTGGCACTATTAGGGTGTGGTTTTGTTAGAGTAGATGTGGTCTTTTTGGCAGAAGTGTGTCACTATAGCAGTGGGCTTTGAGGTCTCACATGTTCCCAAGCCATACCTTTTTGTTCAGGATGTAGCCAGTATCACAACTACCTGCATGCAGCCATGCCCTGTCAGGACGATAATGGACCAAAACTTTGAAAATGTAAGCCACATCAATTAAATGGTTTTCTTTTATAAGAGTTGCCATGGTCATGGTGTCTCTTCACAGCATTAGAAATACCAACTAAGACACCTGGAAATCTCTTTAGCCAATATGCTGTTCTGAAGACCATTAGGATCTGTTTATTTTATGCAGTGCTGGGAATTGAAATCCAGGCCTTATACATGCTTGGATGCACTCTACCACTAAGTTTTATCCCTAACTTTTCAAGAAGTTTTTATACTATATAATTTCATGCTATATAAGCATGATACAGTTTATGAGACTGGACTGTTTATCAGGAGTTAGTCTTTAATAACCCAAATGAGAAAGTAAAATTTAAACTTTGGGTATTAAAAGCATGAACATTTTTTATTCATAAAACTATTGCATACACATTTCTATCAAACTACAATATCTAGATCCTACTTATGGATAAATTCATAAAAGTAAAGAGAACTTGCAGAGTGTGTTAGTATCATACCTTTAATCCCAGTAATAAGGAGGCAGAGGTAGGAGAAGTTCTGTGAATTTGAGGTCAGCCTGGTCTACATAGTGAGTTCCAGGACAGTCAGGAATATATAGAGATACCCTGACTCAAAAAAAGTTTAAATGACAATTCACTAGGACTGTGGGAATTTTAATAACTAATAAAAAAGTCACATAAGAAAATTACTACCGAATTCCACAATCAAACACTTTTAGAAATGGCTTTCTGAAAGACAATAAATCTAGTAATCCGTGGTGACTCTTCTCCCACTTTTTTTACTGGAGGGAAGGAAAGTGGGGAAACAGTAATATCTACAACAAAGCCACATGTTTAGTTACATGCAGAGAACATGGTCTCTACTAAAATGCTACAACTCTGATCAAGAAGAAGAGTCAATTCAGACTTGAGTTCATGGCCACAATACAGAGAGCACAAGACCTGCATGAAAATGACTGTGGCATGCACCATGGAATAAGAATATATTCCAGGCTGCAAAACACCCCATAGAACCCAGTAATCTTAGAGGTTCATTCTGTAATCTAACATACAATGTTTTCTCTAGATCTGTGAAATCAAGTTTGGGGTTCAACATCAACAGTTTCAGATCTGAGATTCTTTTTTTTTGTTTGTTTGTTTGGTTTGTTTTTCAAGGCAGGGTTTCTCTGTATTGTTTTGGAGCCTGTCCTGGAACTCGCTCTGTAGACCAGGCTGGCCTCGAACTCACAGAGATCCACCTGCCTCTGCCTCCCAAGTGCTGGGATTAAAGGTGTGCGCCACCAATGCCTGGCTCCTGAGATTCAGTTTTATTAAGACCAAATAATTAAAATTTTAAAAAGACCCAGAGGCTGACATGTTAAATATATAGTTAAGTGGGAGTTATATAAATGACACATAAAACAAAGGAAAATAGGAAATAAACTAACAGAGAAATTCTGTTGAATTTGAAAGACTGCAATTCAATTCCAGCTTTGCTAAGAAAAGGTATAACACATATAAGGCTCTAATCGCTTGTATACAAGTTTAGTGCTATTTTTTTCATCCTCTATATGTGTTGGTAAAATGTGATATGTAAATTTAAAAACAAAACAAAAGTCCATTGCAATTATTAAAAATTATGAAAACTTTAAAATGGAAAGAACATATTCTCTTTTTTGTATTTTCATTACTCTAGAAATAGTTGAAACCATAAAACATAACCAAAACAAACTCAGAAGGTTATATTTATATATTTGTGCATACATATAAATACACATAATAGATGGACAGATGCAAAACTAATTGGAAAATAAATTTTATGCAATATATTCTGATCAGGTTTTCCCTTCCCTGTCTCTGCCCGGATCCTCCCTACCGGCCCACACATTGTACTGCAGTCTTTATTCTCTCTTCGTAAACAAACATGCAAATAAACAAACCAAAACACAACAAAAAGAAGAAACCCATGCACAGAGACACACACACAAGCAGACATGAAACCCACAAAAATCACAAAATCTGAAACCATAACATAGAAGCAAAAGACCAGGAAAATGAAAAACATACATGAAAAATGCCAACTAGACATGTTCTATCTGTCCCTTTTTTCCTTTCTATGAAATTGCAAGCTTTTATGTGAGGAAGAAGAGAAGGTGTCAACTTTACCAAACTCTACAGAGAGCCTAGCTTCATAAGATCTTCAGAGATGGTGATTCTTAGTATATGGATGTATTGTCTTCTCATTCATGCATCTTCATTTAACAATCAAAGTATAGCCCCAGGGTAAGTATGTATGCTTGCTAGCTTTGCCTTGCTGTTGCTAGCTGCTGCAGTCTATGGCAAATATTAATTTTCATGTTATGTTCTTTAAATTTTAGGCTCAAAATATTTGATCAATTCTACAGACAAACAAAATAACTTACTTTGGTTTCTTCTATTAGTAGTAAGCCCAAGTGACACCTTAAGTAAGGTAAGGGTGGCCTCTCACCTGGAGCCGGCACAGAAGCTCCACCATCTTCATCAGCACTTCCTTCATGAATTGCATCTTGCTCAGTTGCGCTCTCAGAACATGTAGCTTCACTGGAAACAGAGGAAAGTAGAAGCAAAAATCATCAGTTCATGCCTGGGTAACTATCTTCCTTACCAGTAAGCAAATACAGAAAATATTCCTGGAAAAAAAGTTCTGATCAGACAGAAATAAAGACCAAGACCCATAAAAGAAAGAGGTTTTATTTTATTTAGTAAACTGTTATTTAGTGTTCACTATTCTGAATTACTTTATCACATTTTATTCTCCTATCAAAACATTATTGCACAAAGTTATCTCTATAGGTCAGTGCTTAGTATTGTAAAAATCTGAAAGTAGTTCTACATTTCTTTAAATTACTCCAAAACTGAAGAATGAAGAGCTGATAAGATTGTTCAGTACCATATGCAAGTAGGCCTCAGTGCCAGACCAGTACCTGACACAAGAAAGACTAAAACTAAATGTTACCTATGTGATTCAAAAACCTTTTTTCATTTCAGAGTCAAGGCAACTCAATCTAATCAATCTGAGGAAATGACTAAAAACACTTAAAATTATCCAAATCTATACCATTTATAATCTATGATTTTTTTCCTTAGGAATCAAGTATATAAATTGTTTCAGAAAGGAAAAAGTGACAATGATGGAAATAAATAACATACTTTCATTGGACAACAGAAATGCCCCATGGAACTTAGCATTTATTAGCTGGATCTAAAGTTATTATCTCTTTGATGTAAAAATCACAGATATGCAACCAACTTACTGCCTTGGAGGAGGTGAAAGGTTTTGTCAACTGACATATTTTTCAATTCATAATGCCTAAGAACTAAACAAATATATTAAACCCTGTCATTCTTAGGGTATTTACTGCTTTGAAGAGGCACTATGACCAAGGGAACTCTTATAAAAGAAGACATTTAATTGGGGTGGCTTGCTTAGAGTTTCACAGGTTCAGTCCATTGGTGGGGAACGTAGGTAGGGACACGCAGGCAGACATAGTGATGAGTACATCTTGACCAGAAAGCAACAGGAAGTGGATTATCACACTGGGAGTGGCTTGAAAATATAGGAACCTTCAAGGCCTGCCTCCATAGATAGTAACACACTTTCTCCAAGAAGACCACATCTACTCCAACAAGGCCATACCTCCCAATAGTGCCACTCCTTTTGGAGGCCAATTTCTTCAAACCACCACAAACTCCATGCCATTTTTATAGATTATGACTGTATGCTGTACTTCAAATGAGACCATGGATGTCATGGAGAAATTGTGTGGAGAATGTATTCGCCCATGCTAGACTGTCTAAACCCAGACTATAAAACAAAGCAAAACAAAACAAAACAACAAATCCAAAAAAACAAAAACCCGCATATTATTAACAGTTGGCATTTACCTTTCCATCAGTTTGTAAAGACATTCTACTTGGGTTTATATCTGGTAGCTAAAGCATAGAGGATGTACCTTTCAGGTTTCAAGTTATTTTCCAGCTGCTGGATTTCACCTAACAACTTATGCAAGCTTCGGATCTTTGTTTTCTTCTCATTCAGCACCAAGATAAATCTTTGATACAGATCAGCCTCCAAGGCTTCTTTGGCAGTCACACATTTCTCAAATCTAAACAAACAAACAAACAGAAAAACAACCAAAAATAAAAACAAAAAGACAACAAGTGAAAAAATCATAAGTCATATAGGTTTTATAGCATTAAAACTATTCAATCTCATCCTCGTGATTTCAAGAAAACTTGAAGGTAAAAATAACTAAGGTCATTTTTGTACATGCATTCAGAAACTTAAATGTTCTAAGGAGAACACTGAACAACCCATAAATGGGTAGAAATATGCTTTTCAAATTAAATGTTCCCACATAATAATGTATTCATACATTGCTTATTTACAAAATATTTTCATGAAAATTTCAAATGGCCAAATATATGATTTTTTTCAGACAGACATTAATTTTACTGTTTATAGGACCAGGTTTGTTTGTTTTTGTTTTTGTTTTCTGGCAAACTTGCTGATTTATTACATGTCTCCAAGAGTACCTGTCCCTTTAAACACACCCTTTCATAGCTGCTCTGAGTCTGTCTTTCAAGATGCCAGGCAGGCAGGCATTAGATGGGTTTGAGAAAGCACCATACCAAACCACTTTGAAGTTCTCTTCCTTGGAGATGTGCCTTTCTGCTGGTAGGACTCCCTTCCATTTATGTACTAATGGTCTACCAGCCAGGAAATTAGTATGAATACTTCAGCAGCACTGTGTCCCTGCTAGGAGCTGAGGACATTCCCTAAAGAGCATTAGATAGGATATGTATCCATTCAGGCACTTCACATTGACAAAATGGAGCTTGTAGAACTTATTTTGCCTCATTGGATGCAGGAGGCAGTAATAGTCTACGGCTGCTCTCAGGAATGTCTGTTTCCTTGCAGTTTCTCATATATCAAAAGATACTGCCAATATTTATAGTTCATTTCACACAGGGGTATATTATTATATCTATAATTTCAGAGGCAAACTGTTACATGAACATTCTCTTATTTTCATATAATATTTTCTAATGGAATGCCATAAGATATTTAAATATGAATAGAACATATATATTTATATATAAACTATATCAGTATATATGTAGAATGCAATGAAATTTATGCACATCACAATTTTTCTAGAACAACTGAGAAATAGCAATGACTTCAGAAACTATTAGATTTACTTCCACATTCAATTTTCAAACAAACCTCCCTGAAGTTCTTCAATGAAAGATTATGAACATATATTAACTCTGAAAACTATCTAGCTTTATGGAACTTTATGAAAACTATCACTTGTATAATATGTTGCCTTGAAAAGGTATCAAAATGATACGATTTTCATGAAAGTAGTACTAACCTGCATAACTATACCACAACTATATCATGAAAGTTCATATTACTTCTGTTACAGGGAAAAAGTTGTGCATTATGTAACTTAACCTTCCCTGCTTTTACGCCTTTATTACAATAAACTGGTCATCAAACAGGACAATACCTCCCAGAAGGAGTTGAGTTGCATAGCATATTGTTATAAATAATCACAAAACACAAATATCCTCTCAGTTACTATTTTCTCAACAGACTCAAAGAATATTATGCTTTTACTCAGTATTTAGAAATTAAGACATGCATAGCTTGTGTCCTACATTATCTTTAAAAACCCATCTTCTACAGCATTATCCTTTGCTATGTCTTACATATTACAAGCTCCATGGCAAACTTCCGTCTGAAAAACTGGCCAAAAATTATTAGGTGAGGCCACTGACCAAAGAGAGACATGGGACTTGTTGCTAACCTGAGGACAATAAAAGAAACCCTCAGACCATTGCAGCAGAGGACAACTAGTCCAAGGATCTTTCCTAAGGCCAGGCTCAAACAAGATGACACTATAAGTAGCATCAAGAAAGAAGGGCCTAATGACATTTGTCCTATCAATAATGACCATGACATAGAACAATAATGTTTAGCTTAAACATTATACTCAGTAATTAGAGCCTTGGGAAGTTATAAGAATACAGTACTTTTAAAAAAGTGGCGAATAATAACTGTGGGCCTCTTTCCAGCCTGCATTCTGGTGCCCTGCTTGGAGTGTCCTGATGCTTTAAACCTGAGCATGGGGAATCCATCCCAGCAAACCAATCCATCCAGAATCTGCTGAATTAGCAGAACTAGTCCCCCATCCACCCAAAAGGAGAAAGTGAGCATGGGCCTGTTTCCAGTCCACCATTCAGTGCCATGCTAAGAGCCTTCTGAGGCCTGGGGACTGTATCCTGGGGAAATAGTCCCAGTGGAGCAGCCCATCATAAGTCTGCCAGTGGTGCTGTGCTACTCCCACCTCCACCCATGGGAACAAGAGAGCCATCAGAGTATTGGTCCTGTTTGTATGCACTGGGAGAGAACCTTATTCTCCTAACTACCAGGAGAAGGAGAGATCACACTGGTACCCACTGGAAGAAGGGATGACAAGACGACAGTATAAGAACACAGTAAACAAATGAAGGATCAATATGATGCCACCAGAGTCTAGGGACTCCACACTAGCAAGACCTGAACATCGCAACATATATGAAGCAGAAGAACATTACATCCAAAAACAAAAGAATATACCTTCTTCTCAGCACCTCATGGAACCTTCTCTAAAATCAACCGCAACTTTGTAATTTAGCAAACATTAATAGGTACAAAAAAAATTGAAACCCCCTCTGTATCTTATCAGACCACCATACTTTAAAGTTAGAATTCAACAACAACACAAATTGCAATAAACCCTACAAACTCATGGAAATTGAACAATGTACAATTGAACCATTCCTGGGACAAGGAAGAAATAAAAGAAGAAATTAAAGACTTCCTAGAATTCAATGAGAATGAAGACACAACATACCCAAACTTAGGGGACACTTTGAAAGCAGTGCTAGTGAATTAGCTGCACAATTGAAAGCTCTATAACAAAAAGAAGCAAACTCACCCAGGAGGAGTAGATGCCAGGAAATAATCAAATTTAGAGTTGAAATCAATAAAGTAGAAACTAGGAAAACAATACAAAGAACCAATGTAACAAACAGTTGGTTCTTCCTGAAAATCAACAAGATAGACAAACCTTCATCCAAACTAACCAAAAGGCAGAGACAGAACATGGAAAATGACATGTTTTAGTGTTTTCCAGATACTTTTTTTTTTTCATTTTTTATTTTAATTTTAAATAGCTTGTTTTACATGTCAATCCCAGTTCCCTCTCCCTCCCCTCTTCCCGCACTCCCCTTCCCCCCCTCCCTCCCACCCTATTGCCAAATCCTTCCACATAGGGGATATCTAGAGTCTGTCATTTTACTCTTGGTAGGGTCAAGGCACTCCCCTAAGAGTCCAGGCTGAGAGAGCATCTCTCTTTGTGCTATAGGCACATGAAGACAGTTTGTATACCAGGGATAGACACTGATCCACAGCTCAGGGCCCCATAGGTTGCCCAGGCCTTCTCGCTGACACTCACATTTGGGGGGTCCAGATCAGTCCCATGCTGGCCTCCCCACTGTTGGTCTGGGGTTCAAGGGCACTCCCCCTGTTCAGATCAGCTGTCTCTGCTGGTTTTGCCAGCCCATTCTTTGCCAATTTGCTCATCACTCCTCTCTGTCACTGGGTTCCTTGGGTTCAGTTCAGTGTTTAACTGTGGGTGTTTGCCTCTGCTTCCATCAGTCACAGGATGAAGGCTCCCGGATGGTTATAGACATCAAGTTCATTATCAGGAATGGGCATTCGAGGTGGTCCCTCCACTATTGCTTAGCTTGCCAATTGATGTTATACCTTTAGATCACTCGAGGTCACTCTGGTGCCTGATCTGTCTTCGATCCTATGATTCCCATTTCCCCTATTCTACCCCCACCCCCTCAACTTCCTGTTCCCCCATGACCAACTCCCTTCCTCTTTACCCCCTCTATTCTTCCCAGGTCCCACTCCCCCCCTCCCAGATACTTTTAAATTTCCCAAATGTTGTCAAAACAAAGAGAACATCATGTTAGAAGATCATCACTGAGAATGTCCCATTGCAAACCAGGTTTAAATCACTTCAAAGGGCTGTTTTCTGACTCCCTTGGAAAATGTAAGCATGTCTGGAAACAAGCTCAAGTAATAATAGCCATCTCTCTAATCTCTTGTTTCTGCTTTTCTCTAGCATGATTTCATTTTCTCGTGGGCTCTTTCCTAGGTTTCTTCCAGCTCAAGGCTGATTCTTGCCTCTGCAAATCTTATCCCAATCCCCAGCTCAGCAGAGAGAACTTATCCTATATCACCATCATTTCTGAGTTGGGTATCACTAACTTAGCTCCAGTTTTCTTCCCACTTCTTGGTCAATCACTATGACCTATGGGATGGAATATGCATATGGAACTACGTGTCTACTTCAAGGAGAATGATATGTTTTATATTAGAATCTCTATAAGCAAGAGCTGTATCACAAGAACTTTGAGTCTTTAAAGAAAGAAATTAAAGAAGACACCAGAAAATGGAGAGATCTCCCAGGCTCTTGGATAGGTAGGATCAACGTAGAAAAAATGACAATCTTGCCAAAAGCAACTACAGATTCAATGCAATCCCCCATTGAAATCCCAGCACAATTCTTCACAGACCTTGAAAGAACAATTTTCAACTTTATATGGAAAGAAAAAAGACCCAGGATAGCCAAAACAATCCTGTTCAACAAGGCAACATCAGGAGGCATCACCATTCCTGACTCTTTTATAAAGCTATAGTCCTAAAAACAGCTTAGTATTGTTACAAAAATAGACAGGTAGACCAATGGAATAGAATTGAAAACCTTGATATTAATCCACACACATATGAACACTTGGTTTTTGACAAAGAAGCTAAAATTATACAATGGAAAAAAGAAAGCTTCTTCAAGAAATGGTGCTGTCATAACAGGATGCTGGCAAAGACCTTCACCAACCCCACGTCTCACAGAGGGATATTTCCCAAAATATACAAAGAACTTAAGAAGCCAGTCACCAAAACATCGATTTAAAAAGTGGGATACAGAACTAAATAGAGAATTCTCAATAGAGGAATCTAATATGGCTGAAAGAGCTCAACATCCTTAGCCATCAGGGAAATGCAAATCAAAATAACTCTGAGATACCATCTTGTTCCTGTAAGAATGGCTAAAATCAAAAGAACCAAGGACAGTTTATGCTGATGGGGATGTGGAGAAAGGGGAACATTGCTGGTGGGAGTGCAAACTCATACAGCAATTTTGGAAATCAGTATAGCAGTTCCTTGTGAAAATGGGAATCAGTCTACCACAAGATCAAGCAATTCCACTCTTAGGCATATACCCAAAAGATGCACATTCATACAAGGACATTTGTAATAGACAGAATCAGGAAGTAACCTAGATGTCCCTCAACTGAAGAATGGATACAGAAAGTGTGCTTCATTTACACAATGGAGTACTACTCAGCAGAAAAAAAAACAATAGAATCTTTAAATTGGCTGGCAATTGGGTTGAACTAGAAGAAACCACCCTGAATGAGGGAACCCAGTCACAAAAAGATAAACATGGCATGTACTCACTCATATATGGATATTAGACACAGAGTAAAGGATTAGCAGCCTAGAGTCCACACCACCAGAGAAGCTAGGAAACAAAGAGGACCCTAAGAGAGACACACATGGTACCACGTAGAAGGGGAAAGGGACAAGATATCCTGAGATAATTGGAAGCATGGAGGGGGGAGGATTTAGAAGAAAGAGAAGGGGAGAAGAGGAAGGGACAGGAGGACATGAGGGGGCTGGAAGACTGAGTCAGGAGAAGAATAGAGGAGAGCAAGATAAGAGATACCATAATAGAGAGAGCCATTATAGCTTTAAAGAGAAATCTGGCACTAGGGAAATGTCCAGAGATCTACAAGGATCACCCTCCAACTAACATTCTAAACAATAGTCGAGAGGCTATCTTAAATGCCCTTCACCCATAATGAGATTGATGGCTACCTTAAATGCCATCCTAGAGCCTTCATCCAGTAGCTAATAGAAGCAGAAACAGAGATTCACAGCTCAACACTAAGCCGAACTCCTGGAATCCAATTGCAGAGAGGGAAGAGTGATGAGCAAAGGAGTCAAAACTGGAGTGAAGAACCCCCCAGAAACAGCTGACCTGAACAAGGGGGAGCTCATGGACCCCAGACTGATAGCTGGAACCAGAATAGGAACAACCCAGACACGCTGAACGTGGGTGTCAGTTAGCAGTCCTGGGCAATCTATGGGCCCTCTGGTAGTGAATCAGTATTTATCCCTAGTATGGGAATGGACTTTGGGAGCCCCACATAGGGGGTTACTCTATCAGCCTAGACACACAGGGGAGGGTCTAGGCCCTGCTCCAAATGATGTGACCCACATGCAGTTCCCCAATGGAAGGACTCACCCTACCTGGGGAGCAGAAAGGGGATAGGTAGGATGTTGGTGGGGGAGAGGGGAGGAAGGGAAGGAGAGGGAACTAGGATGGACATTTAAAACAACTTTGTTCTAATTTAAATAAATAAAAGAAGAAAAACAGTGACAAAGAAATAAATAATAAATACAAAAAGCCCCCCAACAGTAACAAAATGAAAGTTTGCACAACACTATCCCAAATAAAATAACAAAGAGGCACATGATTGTGAGCATGTGGTGCAGAAACAGTGACTGTTCCGTTAACAGTGAGCTCTGGCCCAAATTATGCAGCTCAAGGTTTAAAACAAAAGAGAGTCTGAGCAGCACATAATGGCTGAAGAAGGCTGAGAACTAGAAAAGAGTGACACCAGAGACTGAATAAGCCCCCAAGCCAGGAAGATGATGGCCACAACTGCCTCACTGATCTCTGAAGGAAAGGTTTTCTGTAACTGTTCTTAAAACAATCTAATGGGCTGCCATGAAGACATACAGATATCCCCCGAGGTCTTTAAAAATCAGACTGAATTCATCTGTAGATAATGTGATTCTACCTTGAAGGCACAAAGACAAAGGGCAAGAGCTTTCAAGGCTTGCTAATTCAGTCATCTCAGTTCACTGAAGACTGCCTCCTTTTATGGGTTTAATAACTATAACTCATAAGAAAGCCAGAGCATTTCTAAACTGAGGTCTGACTGCAAACAAAAAACCTGCGGATCATGAGACTTATTGTTTGAACTAAAGTAAGAAATCTAGTAAATAAATACAGTTAATAACCTCAGGGTTCACATACAAATTTCTAACATTTTCCTTTTATTTAAAATATACAAAACTAACTATGTAATGAAGCTTGCTCAAAGGGGAGCACAAAGAGTAAAATTACTGAATGATAAACAGTAATAGTAAGAACAGGGTAAGGCCTGTGTATTAAAGTTCACACTTTCTATCCATCCTATAATTACTTACTCCTTTTTCAAGCCTAGTTTATTCCAATCATACCAAATCAAAATAAATACATATTTGCTTTTTATTACAACAATGATCCATATTTCAATTAAAAAATGAATCCAGAATTAAAGATATATTCTGTTACCATTTAACTTCTCTTTAAAATGTAAATTTAAAAATATTTGGTAGTATACCAGTCTCTGAAATAGAACCTAAAGAGTGTAGTGATTTACAATTATATTATTGGGTTTACTCCTACTGTTTCATTCCATTACATTTAAGACCCTTCTACCGTAGTTTCTGAAGGAATTTCTAGTGCCTGTTTAAGCCCTTCTTTCCTTTATCTACAGTACAGACAGAGTGGTGTAGGAAGAAATGATGGGATCATAAATGGATACCATCAAAATCACAGGCTACGTTGACAAGTGAAGTGAGTGGGACTCCTAACAGGATGCAATTATTGACAAGTGTCTACTTTCTATGTCCCCAGTTTCTGAACTCAGTTCATTTGCGCCCTATTTCTAAGCTCTTGAAAGCCAAGTCTTAGTCAATACTCCTGCCAGAGGGAAGCCAGCACACTCACTGAGTGCTCTGCTCACTTTCTAGGACTCTGAGCTGTCAGGAAGAGAACACTGAGGAACTGCTGCTGTGACAAAACCACAGTGTACTGAAAGAGCCTCAGAGTCATCATGTTGCCTCCTCAAAAGGAAGAAAACCAAATTTGGGAAGTAAGTAAATCTCAGGTATACAAACAGGAGACTAGAATTCTCTGAAGAGGATTCCTTTCTCTCAGGTTGTAGGATCACTCTTTTGGCAACACATAGTTAGGCCACATCAAAGACATCTGACCCAGTAATGACAATAGAAAGATGGCTGAAGCAATCATAAAAGACAAACTACAGGAAATGCCTTGTTGCTGGCAGGCAAAAGCCCAGAAAGCAAGTCAAGCACCTGAGCTCAGCAGAACAGAGAAGCTCACACGTGCTTTCACTGCCCAGGCTGCTGTCTCCAGGCACATGTTCATACCCTGCTGCCTGCATCTGAAGCAAGTGGGCTGAATGCCCATGAGCCAGGACAGCACTTTCTCAGTTAGTACTGACCTTGTAGAGCAATTGGTTCAAGTACAGAGTACCCAGGCTGCAATTCGGTGGGCATTTTATGGATCCAATTTTGAGTTTTAATATAAAAATACAGTGGCTTATCACAATCACAGTTCATCTCCTTTAATTTGATTTGTTTGATATATAAAATAGAAAAATACAATAGGACTATAGATATAATACCAAATAATGCTTTGCAGCACAGATATTTGATATAGGTTGATATTAAATGAAAAATAAAATAAACGTTTAAGATGAATTATCTGATCTTTTATATAGTTTCCTAATATATAAACTTGGATTTGACTCATTTATATATTTAGCTTATATATTTAGATATAAAAATTTTTTGAGTTAAAAGACAACAATACAAGTATTCCCTTAATATAAAGTGAGGAAGTCAAAGATAACTAGGTATCTGTTATTTACATTTACATAGACTGCCATAATTCATTTTATATAATTGTTAAGAACTTCTTTTAACTATTCTCATCCTCATATATATATATATGTGTGTGTGTGTGTGTGTGTGTGTGTATAATCATCAAACTCTTTAATATGTACTTCCTCAAGGACTTATTAATAGCTACATAGAGCCATCACAACAGTTGCCCTAAAAGTTCAAATACTTAAATGGGATGCATGTTATTATACCTTACCTTACTGAGAGAATTTCAAAAAATGTACCATATAGAACAATTTATAACAACATTTTATATATCCACTATGCAATTATTCTAAGCACTGTTTTACACACAAACATAGAAATATCAGTTTTGTCTATGTGAACATGTAAGTGTTCATGACCCAGTAAAAATACCATTTGCGTAAAAGAAAAATACAAATTATATATTGGTTGAGAATACATTATGATTTACATGAAAAAAGAAATACTTGAAAAGAAATATATCAGTCTTATTCACTATTAAAAAACAAAAAACAAGAGGCAAATCTAGGAAAATAAATGACTTTTCAATGCCTTATTCAGTAGCCACCATTACTTCATCTTTTAAAAATGATTGTAGCATGAATTTTCAGTCAGGGGAAATGTCTCTAGTGGAGCCAAAACACACATCATTTGAAGTAGTTATTATTCACTAATTCCAAACAAAAAGTCAACTGGACTTATTTATACTTCCCATCTCCTTTTGTTAATTATTAATCCTATAAATTAAGCTACAGTAATCCTTTCCTTATAAATATCCTTAGTCTTCTCAAGCGCTGAGGTCTATGTCAGGCATGTGTATGGTCAGCACACATTCAGTCAGCAGGCAACACACTCAGGCTAATTTTTTTACTAATAGTGTAATAATAGGCTGCGATACTCGATCCACGTCACTTCTAGTAAACTGAAATGGTTAATACTCCACTGTTGTACAAAACAGCCACTAATAACGTGGTTGGATAAAATTGGCTAAAAGAATAATTAGGGAGGGATTTTATAAAAGGCCTGCTCTCCATATGTTGTAAATTTATATATCATTAGCTTACGTCTACAGGAATGAAAGGCCTCAGTGTTTGCCTGATGTAAGCACACTGTGTACATACCGGCCTTGAACATCGTTCCAATCTCTCAGGAGCCTTTCGTTTTCTTTCTGCAGGTGCTCATTTTTGGCTTGGTTTTCTGCAATGGTGTCCAGGCAGTAACAAATGAGTTCTCTAATGACTTCAGTTGAGTTTGGAACTTTGTCTAGGTTGAAGGAACCAAGCCTAAACTAAATAGAAAGAAAGAAAAGGAAAACATGTTCAATGTCAGAATAGTGTTCAGATTGAACAATTGAACAGGCCAGTTTTCAACATACTTTCTTCTGGGGGAAAGCATATGAGGTTGAAACTGCAATTACCACATACAATACTGTGAACTTAAAACTGGTTCACCTCCTAGTTTCCTATTGAATTTGTTATATGAATCAACAAATAACCTAAAAAAATAATGTTCCCCAATTCCTATCAGAAAAGAAAGCAATTACCTGCTCTTAGGTATGATACACCATCCTCTTACAAAAGCCTAAGTTTATGTTACTCTGCTCAGAGTAAGGGGACATGTTATATGCTAAGATTTTTAACTCATGTACTACCAAAATAAGTGGATATTTTTGTATTACAACTATTGGAATAATTTATACATAAGGCACTACCAAAGAAATACCTAGCATTGGTAATAGTTAAAAGTTAAATAGTTAAATACCCAACTGGTTACAGTAAAAAGAAAACTAGAACTTTGAGAATCTGATAATCTCAGAAAACTACAAAGGAATTACATTTTTATGTAAAGACTATGATTTGTTAACAATACTACTTCTAAATGACTACTTGAATACTTTTGTAAAAGGTGAGAATCATTAAATAACTTTAGGAGGGAATTTCAGAATGAAGTATTACAATGAATCTGTTAGTTATGAAACTCAAATTAACACATAGATTAGTTATCTATTTATTTATATAAACATAATTTCATATCATCTATATCAAAAAAGTCACTTCTTTGGGGTTTATTTTCAATTTTTTGCTCCTAGGTATCTACTTTTTAGTATTTTATGTATTTAATAAAAATATTTCCAGAATATATCATTTTCATGTTGAGACAAAGACATATCATAAAATTTATAAAACAAACAAAACTAATCCAACTAGTAGTCATTAATACAGAAATCCAAAGCCTATAGCCTATAACTCCACTAAGTTCCTTTAATGTGATATCACTTGGATAGAGAACAACAAAACATGAACTCTTCTAGACAGATGTTTCCTAATTTAAGTGTTCATATAGAACATATGGTTAGAAGACGGTTTCGCATCATGAAAATGATGAGAAAAAGTTTAAAATATGAATCTTCGATGTAAAGAAACACATTTATTTAATAAATAAAAGGCCATCAGTACTGTGATGGCTGCTTTTAACTGTCAAGGTGACACAATCCAGGAGCCCTTGGGAAGAGTGTCTCAATGGCTGTCTAGATCGGGTTGGCATGGAGAGAAGTCTACAGTGATAACCATGAATAAGTTAACTGAGGTGAGAGAAGGCACCACTGTTGTGGTGCCTGAGCAGGGAACCTCGGAGAGGAAAAGGATGGATGAAGAGAGCACAGCACACGTGTGCACTCTGCTTTCTACCAGTGCCTGTGGACAGAGTTCAGGCAGCTCTCGGGCGACTCTTTCTATGGTGGTTTCCACTACATATACTGTAACCTGCACCTGGGAACTGAAATAAACCCTCTCTCCTATAGTGACTTCTTCAGGGCATTTTTTCACAGCAACAGAAAATGAAACTAAAAGAAATATTTAAAGACTTTGAGATTACAAACACATTTTAGAGGGATAAGTATTACATTACTAACCACAAAATATGGATATATATATTACTATTTTAAGCCTAACCTGATCATAATATTCACATAATCCATTGTTTTATGGCATCTTACAGTGGTTCTTTAAAAACCTAAAATTCATTCAGATAAAAGAATTTCCTTTACTTCAGTGAGTATACCCATTTGAAAGGAACTCTTTTGCTTGGGTTAAATTAAACAATTTAAGAAATATTTAACAAAAACACTTTCAGAAAGAGCAGAAATTCAGGTGCTCTAAAGTCTTTAAGACTGTTGTATCTGATTTAATTATTTATCTTAAACTTTTTATCAAATGGTCAAAAGCATTTGAAAATAGTCATGTAATAAAAGGGGATTCCATGTAATATGTATACAAGTTTAAAAGAGAAAATTTTAATGACATGAAAAGTATATTCACTGGAAGGAAATTGGACCATGGACCTTTTGAAGGTTCTTCAAGTGTAAACACATTGAAGGGTAAAGGTCATCTTACAATATTACCTTGTGAGATTATGTAAATCATGAGGAAAACTAAGTTTACTTCAATTTTAAACAGCAGATGACACTGTCAACAGAACACACATCCACAAAGGTGCCTGGCATCCTCTTTGTATTACTGCTGTCGGTGTGGTAAAAAAGGTGTATTTTTACAGGAAGAAGGTTTTCATCATATGAGACTTTCAAAATGTCAAGTGTGCTGAGAATATGCCCACACTTTGACTTGAATTTAAAAAAGTCCAGTGTTACATATCATATCTTAGGAGAAAAGGAAGGGGGAAAAAACTAATTCTAAATCAATGTTTGTCAAAATATCACTCAAATATTAAGAAATACTTTTAAATGATATGATATATGAATACTATATGTATATATATTCAGCCCGCATTCCTAACTTCTCCAAGATCTACCACTAACACCAATCTCATGCTCTCTTTTTCAAATAAAAAAATCTTAACTTTGTCTTTCATTAGTTATAATGTTGAAATGAAACTAAAGGCATCGTTTTTCCTTCAGAGTAAGAAATTTCTGGCTATGGGTTGCCTTCACTAGTTTCTGGTGCTTTGAAAGGAATGAACATCAGTTAGTCCCAACAATAAAACGTAATAAAAGATGAGAATTTGGGCAAGAAATCTAAAGACTGGATTTCTTTGGAGTATCCATTTTATTATTGTTTGACTTCTCAGTTTGAAGGCCTGTTATCCCTGTGCACAGTGCTTGAGCCAGGCAAGAGGAACTCTTCTGCAGCTAAAAGTACAGGGACAAGATTTCCTAAGGTCCTCTTCCTTTTCAGCCTGAAAGGAAAACATTTCCAGGGTCTAGCTTTACATGAAGCTCATCCTCACAGTGCCCCCTGAACACAGGAAAACTGCAGGGACTTAACACCATTGAAGGAAGTCCGCACAAAGCCTATGCTGTATTGTTGCACTAATCTAAAAATCTGGCACTAGTGAGATCTTCACAGATCTACAAGAATGACACCAACTGGCACTAAGCCTACCTTAAATGTCCTTCCATGATAATGAGAATGATGACTACCTTATATGCCATCCTAGAACTCTCATCCAGTAGAGATAGAGGCAGACGCAGACACCCACAGCTGGGAACGGAATTGAACTCCTGGAACCCAGTTGCAAAGAAGAGTGATGACCAAAGGAATCAAGATGAGGCTGGCAAACCCACAGAGGCAGCTGACCTAAACAAGGGGGAACACACGGACCCCAAACTGACAACTGAGGGGCTAGCATGGGACTGATCCAGACATCCCTCCTACTGAACCTGGGTGACAGAGAGGAGGCCTTGGCAATCTGTGGGACCTTGGAGAGTAGAGCAATTATTTATTCCTGGTATACAGAAGGACTCTGGGAACCATACCATGTGGAAGAATGCTCTCTCAGCCTGGACATATGGGGAAGGACATAGGCCCTTCCCAGGATTATGTGACAGACTCTGAAAATCCCTCATGGAAGCCCTTGCCTTCCCTGGGGAGCAGAGGAAGGATGAAGTGGGGGTGACGGGTTGCGAGGTGGGGGAGGAGGGGACAGAGAGGGAACTGAGAGTGGCATGCGTAAAAAGTTAAATAAAAAATATGGAAAAACAAAAATAGGGGGAAAAATCTTGTTACAAGAAAATCAACCACATGACTAAAATAAATTAACCAAATTGATGCCACATGAATCTGCTGAACTCCCTACTCACTAGGTTCCATGCCTGCAACACGTACTGCTTTTTCATGCCATCATGGGTAGTTTAAAGTGCTAAGGATATGGTTTACTGTGAAACTCATTGATTTCAAAGTCATTCTATAATGAAGAGTAATTTGCTAAGTAAATCACAAACTCAGTGTCCACGGTGCCAGAACTTCTGTGAGATACCAAGCAGCATATACTAAGATGACTAATACAAAGGTGTGTTTGCATACATGTGTCCTTCTGCATACTTAAAATAACCCCATTGTTATAGTACTTAACAGGATATATGGCAAGTGTAAAATTCTCTACTTTAGGAAGCCAACATTGACAATTATTTTTGATGGGATCCTGAGTAATAATCAGCTGCAGTCTCTGTGTTCTAAGCATGGTAAAGGTGTGTAAGACTGCAGATTCATGAACACTGTCAAAGGATTGCTCATTGTTTTTTTAAATAAATTACAAAGGAACATTAACCTAATAACAGAGCACACACACACAGACACGCACACACACTCACACACACACACACATACACACACACACACACACACACACACACACACCACCTGTACACACCCTCTTTAGTCAGTATTTGATATGCCTTTTGAACATGGTTAATTACTTTACACAGTAACATTCCAGAATGACAATACCAGAGAATAATCTCCTAGGAATAGAAGGAGATAGAATCACCATTTCTGGTGTGTATATTGTATGGCTCATAGAAAACTGAGACAGCAAACACTGGGCAAAAGTTACATAATGGTTTAATACCAAACTATTAGATACCTTGAGACTAACTCGACAGCGCAGAGTGTAAAATGCAATGACCACTTTTCTCTGGAATTAACTGGTTTACTCTATTAAAAAACAATTTATCAGGCTATTCATATCATTCTCTAGAAAAATTTAAATAGCAAAATGCACACACACACACACCTTGACAATAAAAAATATAAATTTGGATTCTCCCTATTTGAAATTATAGGATACTTTCACTGGCCCTGACATCCTCAAGAGGATTAAACTATTTTAACTTGATGAAAACACATTAATTATTAGAAGCTATTACACAGATAATGCAAAACTTTTAGAGACAAAATATTTACATTATAATTATTACAAATCCATTATGTTATCATAAACTACGAAACTCAAAGATGAGATCCTTAAAAAAATCATAAAACACTAAGTTTCCCT